GCCTGCAGGTCGACTCTAGAGGTCCCACATATATATATATATATATATGTGTGTGTGTGTGTGTGTGTGTGTGTGTGTGTGTGCGTGCGTGTGTGTGTGTGTGTGTGTGTGTGTGTGTGTGTGTGTGTGTGTGTGTGTGTGTGTGTGTGTGTGTGTGTGTGTGTGTGTGTGTGTGTGTATATATATTGATGGATATGTAACATTTTCACACGTCGCATATACTTTCACGAAAATTAGGACTCTTACAAATACATACATATAGGATTGCCTACTTTGATATAAGATATTCTATTGCATCATTTAACCTCTATTTTCATTAGCGGATTCACTTCATGACTTGCTTTTAACATTGAAGTTGAAAAAGAAGTGCCGATATGCGCGAGAAACAAATGGCGCACAGCATGTTGACCGTATTAGCATAATCATAAAATCTTGTAAGATAGTGCATACACGCGATAGCCGAAGCAGCCATTGCGGCCGGGTTTCTCTGGATGGCTTTTAGTACCATGGTTGCGGATAACTGTCGACGTTATCGCGAATGTGGGACTAGACTGATACTTTCAAGCGTGAGATACATATTACAAATATACAAACCCCCAATCATTGATGCATTTCCTGTCAATATGTTTCGATTGTGAGATTGAAATTTCACGTGTCAAATTGCAACCACTGATGACACATCTTATTTCATTGGGCGGCTGAATCTTTTTGCCATAGGTAGTTAGGTACATAAACCATCGCTACGCAATTTTACTTCAATTGATATTTATATGCGTAGTGGCATACGTACCGCTTGCTTTCACCATGTAGTCTGTTGGGTAGAATACAATATTTAACCTAGCGGAGCGAGATATCACCGAGTACACTCAGCACCTGCTTTGAAAGTGAACATTCGCTTAAAGGCTAAGCGATGCTACTCTTTGATAGGTATGGTCGACCGTCTCGCCGGGATGTTCTTCATATAGGTCGCCAAACATATATATCGGAAGCTACAAAATAGTGCATCCCTGGCGTGGAGCTAACCCTGTTATATACAATATACATGTCTTTTGAAAAAAAATCAATACTTGTAGGGTGGCTTACATTTGTATATGTATTCCTGAGAAAAATATGTATATCCACGAGAGAATGTGCATGTCTTGTCTACGGAACCTATCGAGCGCTTCTGCATAAAACTCGACGCGAAGAACTTAATTTTAAACTTCTGACGCTTGGTTTCAATACTTGTCCATTTCGTCACAGAGTCTGTTGCATTTCCAAATGGTTCCAGAGGCGACCGTGTATTATTTGCTCGAAGCGGTGTAGGCGAGATGTTTTACATTTCTGCCAACACAGCTATTGCAAGGATTGTACAGTAAGGTCAGTGGGCTTGTTACTGTATTGCATCTTGGTCCACGGTGCATATATGCGAGCTTGAACTTTTTATTCGATCCTAAGTATGACTAACATATTGTGAGCAATACAGGTGGATTGAAATGGTGATAGCAGGTGACATCCGAGAGATCTCATGTTGTGGAAAAGTACTGGACTCAAGTATGCTACGCAATTTTGTTCCGTCGAAGATTGCTGCACAATACAAGAGAGCTGTTAAACTGAGAAAGCTTGGTGGGATAGTATGCCCCCAATGTTTGCAGAAGCCAATTTCTGGTATAATCAGATACTAACGCAGGTTGCTTGATTGAAATGTTGAATCGTCATTACTTTCATCCACCTTAAATAATTTGTTTATGATGCTTTGTAAAGTGTAGTTAACAACACTTCATTCGTTATCTTTTCTCTCGCACCACAGAGTGCGTCGAACCGACGACGGATTCGCAATTTCCAAGTCCTGAGAATAAGCTCAATTGTAGGCTGTGTGCAAAATCATTCGTACTCCCGGCAGCAGAATTAGATGATTTCCTTGCCTTGGAAATAGCTGCGGTAATTCACGGTTGGAAACGGTGTCCAGGTTGCACTACATTGATTGAGAAAATCGAGGTACATTCTGTATTGTTGCTTTCTATTGACTGCTTGTGATATAAGAAAGGTTTTCACTGGATAATTGAGACCGTGCATTATTAAGAAGTCATTGTTACGTGAATCTAACAATCAATCACAAATTACAATATGCAGGGCTGTAATCACATGAGCTGCATTTGCGGCATCTCATGGTGTTACGCTTGTGGAGATATGTATGGCGAAGTCGACCATGATACCTGCTATAATCTCTGAGAGTGGCAAGCGGGAATAATCGATACCATTTGGACTACACATTAAATATAATCGTAAAGTGTGTACTTTTTCTAAATATAAAACATAAACTGAAGTGAGCATGCCATGATTTCACACGATACCCTTGAGAACTGATGCCATACAACCACGCCTTATACGGCGGCACATGTTCACGGGCCCAAGGCGCCTCATTACCCAAGCCCCGAAAGCCGAAATACTTTAAGTTGTGGTATTACTCAGTCACAGGCTCACAGCATATATTCTCTGCACGGTACTACCCCGAAGGCCGAAAATTATATGATTTTATTCCCTTGCAAAAAGTCCAACTACTGGATGCAGTAGATGGGTACAATGACAATCGCCTGTAGGGATATTATAGATCACCGCCTAAATAAATATGACCGTTACACTCTACAGGGTATTTACAGCCTACACAGGTCTATTAATTTACTTGCCAAGAGTATGGAACACGAACATGATGAACTATGATCCGATTTCACGAGAGTATTTGGTCAAAATTTGAATCGAATGATGCAGCCGCCTATATAGATCACCGTCTAAAATATATATATAATATATAAAATCGGCATTTATATACCCAAAAAAAAATATATATATATATATATATATCTAATTTTTTTTTGGAGGAAGCGAGTTGTAAAATATAATGTTTTTTTTAAACAAAACGTATCTATAAAAAATGTACATATATATTTTTATTTTGTATTTGTTTTTTAAAAACAATGTTCATATTTCTATTAAAAAAACAAGTACTATACATATGGTTTTTTAAAAACCTTTATTTACCTATTATAAATATTTTCATAGCCTTCTAAAATAGAGGTGTTTTTGTAAATAAATAAATATTATTTTTAAAAGAATAGAGGGCCCGCTGTTGTATTGTCGAAGGCTCTTTTGTTTTATAAAAAATACGTCGACAGCTTGTGTTCTGCTTTTATATATTTACATCATGGGGTGTCTCATTTTAAAATGGGATCAGAAATTCCGTTCAGAAAGGACAAGTGTTGTTTTTTTAAAAGCACAATTTTGGTGCTTCACGGGACTTGTAAAGTTGTAATGTCTATTTTTTGAAAATTTAGGTATGCATCCGTATTTACATTTCAGAGATTCTGAGAGAAGTGACTCATCATCAAATATTTTTGAAAAACACCATGACTTTATATGGCCTGGAATTAATTCGCAGCTCTCGTAAAACAAGCTTCTGACGTACTTCTGATTCTGATTCTGATTCTGATTCCAAATTTCGAGAACAAAAACTCGTTCAGAAAAAGGTTTATTTTTTAAAAACAAAATTATCACATCCTTCTAAAATACAGACAAATATCTTTTGTTTTTGTATATTGTTTTAAAAAAACAAATATTGTGGCCTTCCCATTGGTTTAAATGCAAATTTCTGATTCTGAACGTTCGAAATCAGAAATTTCTGATCCCGTAAATAAAGACACCTTTAACTTATTTTTTTAAATGCAACACAACAAGAAGTGACTCTGAAGTCTGAACTCTTGGGTCTGAAGTGACAAAGGGTCCAGGACAACCAGGCCCCAGGGATGATGCCCTGGAACATCTTTTCTTTCTATAAAAATGATCCGCTTTTGTTTCTTTTCTTTTTGTGTGTAAAAATATATAAAACGCAGCCCAAATAGACTACAATTTGTTTGCTTCTTTTTTTTTCCTTTTTTTAAATATCAAAGGCTAAATCAGATTTTTATGGGTCTTCGGTCTGAGCCTCTGCGGACTTCGGACTTTGAGAAAAATATAGATAATTTTGTTTTGTTTTTTTCTCTTTAGTTTTATTGAAATTTATTTCATATCAAATTTTTTTTAATTTATACCAGAGCCAACAATTTGGGATATTGAGACTCTAAGAGTCAGCATCTGTACTCAATAATTACTCTTAAATAGTATAGCCTGTAAGCCGGGCTGCTCGCTTACCCGCAGTGCCTGATGGTGTGGCTGTGTGGGGACTGGGGACGAGTCACAGACTCACAGGTGACAGGATACGAGTCACATGACTCGCATTACTCACACGATTCTCGCAGAGTCGGACAGAAATGACACGGATTTTTTTTAATAAATATATTGCAACTCTCACCGCCTATATAGGCGCCTACCACTGCTACCAGTCATACGCTCGGGGCCGCAGCTGGGCGGCGCGTGCCGCGTGTGACCAGTTGGCCAGTAACTGGCCACTGGCCACTGGCAGTCGGAAGTTCGCCTGTTCGCGTCAGATTCGCATGAATCACAGACTCACAGACCACACTCCACACTCCAGTGACTCTACAGTCTACACTCACAGTCACAAACTCACAGACTACACTCCATACCAGTCTACACTCCACACTCCACACTCCACAGACTACAGAATCACAGAGAGTCGGAGACATAGACTCACGCAGACACAATTGGCAATTGCACTGTTGCGGATTCTTCTTTTGCGCGTGCAAAAGAAGAATCGTGTTGCACTGTTGCTGTGTGTGCGAGTATATGTCATATGAGTCACTTGTGTGTATGTGTGTGTAACTGTAACTGTGACTGTGTGACAGTGTGTGCCTTTGTGGGGAGTACTCTTGAGTCGGAATGTGAAGGAGTTATTATGTAAATAGAAAGAGTTGATATATGTATAGAAAATGTTTTTTAAATTGTTTACGTTTCAAAGATACATAAATACATACATCTTATATATAAAAAACAGTAAATAAAACACCTGGTCCAGGTTCCAGAACCCAGAAGGCAGAAACAGAGACACAATGTACTAGATCTGCACTTATTTTTATTTTTTAAACAAACCCAATTATTATTTTTTAGTTTTTTAAAAATATGTATATTAAACTATTTCTCTACACAACACTGTGATGACAACGATGACTAACTGACTATCGAATTCACAGATCGTGAGCAAGATATTTCGGATACTGTCGTAGATGTTTTGTCAATGAAATAACTAACCAGTGGTCATGCGAAGGATCTTGCAGTTGCAATCTGGCCACTAGATTGCAACTCGCTATTGAGTATTGGTGGTCATCAAAAAGCGTTCGTCATTATATAGTATCAACATTCGACCTACATCGTATCGTATACACACACGCATACACACACACGCATACACACACACACACACACACACACAAGCGAGCACGCACGCGCGGCTAACCATGGTAAAAGGACTTCTGCGAAGGTTGACGGGTCGAAATAGTCACGTTATGTCATGCGAAGGATCTTGCAGTTGCAATCTGGCCACTAGATTGCAACTCGCTATCGAGCACGCACGCGCGGCTAACCATGGTAAAAAGACTTCTGCGAAGGTGTCGAAATAGTCAGTTATGTCATGCGAAGGATCTTGCAGTTGCAATCTGGCCACTAGATTGCAACTCGCTATTGAGTATTGGTGGTCATCAAAAGGCGTTCGTCATTATATAGTATCAACATTCGACCTACATCGTATACACACACACACACACACACACACGCACACAAGCGAGCACGCACGCGCGGCTAACCATGGTAAAAGGACTTCTGCGAAGGCTGACGGGTCGAAATAGTCAGTTATGTAGTTCTTGCCTGGGTTGTAGCTCAATTCGGGACTGTCGAAATTGCTACGAGAAGAAATGGCATACGTACTCGTATAGTGCAGACTGTGTGATACAGGACTATTCCATAGCGAGCACAAGTATTACTTCTCTCGATATCATAAGTGAGGTTACTGACGCCATCGCTGATGCTGTGGGCGAAGAATTGGTGCTAAGCAATGGCAACATACGTCCCAATCTTACTCAGCTCTTACATTCTACTAATTACAGCAAACTAAGAATGGCTTTCTTAGTGCGTGCTCGGAAATATACCTGTGAAGAGAATATACTATTCATGTTGGATTACGAGCGTTTCAGAAAGCTAAGATGTCGACAATTTTACGAGGGCATGATAAGCGAAGATCTAGTGCTCAACCAGGCACATGACCTTGTTGATAAATATGTTCTGGATGGTTCCGAATATCAGGTTAATATCGGACAGGATTTGGCTCTGGAGGTGATCAAACAATTGACGAAATCTGATCTAGTGGCAACAACAGCAGCATTTGCTCGTATTTCTGATCACCTTATTTCTATTCTGGAACAGTTTCTCTTCGAGAGTTTTATAAGCACATACTCGTCAGAGGGTACTACATCCGGCCACGGTAGAAAAAACCGCTATTCAGAACACCATCCTTACCATCAATGAGATGGACACAACGCAAGTCACAATTGTTCAGGCAATCGACAAATACGTCTGAAATAAAATAGCTTGAAACCTTACATGGGACGCATATCCTAGTATATATAACTATATGGTATATAAGATCCTAGCCTTCTGAATTATCAAGTTTTGTGATTCAGAAGGCTATGTGTTTTTCCTTTGTGTGTTTTACGGTATCGAAATTATACTCTATATTATTTCTATCGATCGATTGAATAATTGCGTGCTATGAGATGTAAATAGTGTTAACTGAAATTACGTTCCAACGGAAATCTCATCACGAACAATGCTTGTGCATTTTGTTTTTTGTGTTATAGTTTTTCTCATTTATGCACACAATGTGACTGAATAGTGAATAAATGATGGATGACTCCGAGGCCAAACTCACAGCCCAACCCCAAACTACAATACTACATAGTCCAATTGGCTCAATATCTAGTTCCTCGATATAAAGAGTAAATATTACAGCCCCATTTGTTTATTATATTTTGTTTTTAAAAAACAAACAAATCGGTGTGGAGACTTTGCCTAAACGACACCCATCACTATAAAATTATAAACGTCCGAGCCCTAGTATTTCTATGTAAATTTATGAACCAAGTGAAATTATTTTGAATAAAATGTTCGTCTAAAAAACATTTCGCGGTTAATAAAATCACAGAACAGGACAAAATCCCTTGGACCTGAAATTCAACAGAACGGGACAAAACCAAAACTTTGTTGAACTACAGTGCAATTGTGCAAACCAAACGATCATATTTTACATGGCCTTCTTTTCTTCTTTATAATTTAATAGGAGGCTATGAAACGATATTTTTTTACTAAGGATCCACGAATTCACGCTCACAGCCTCACAGGTTTAACAGACCATTGGCTCTCTTTAGTCTGAGGCGTTGTATTCGGTTTCACATGTGATAGGTTAAGAT